TGTGTTTCAAAAATATCATGATGTATTTTTAATTGTTATTATTTTCATACTGCAGCTTTGACTTTAGCCACAAAAAAATCTTTGCTTAGAATACTTACAATCGTTAGGGTTGAAAACCATAGAATCATAGAATGCTTTGGGTTGGAAAGTACCTTAAGATCATCTAGTTCCAACCTCCCTGCCATGGGCAGGGACATCTCACCTTAGACCGTGTTACCCAAGGCTCTGTCCAGTCTGGCCTTAAACACTATCAGAGATGGAGCATTTACCACTTCTTTGGGCAGCCTGTTCCAGTGCCTCACCACTGTCACAGTAAAAAACTTCTTCCTTGTCAGGAAGGTATCAACTGATTGCTATGAGAAACTTGAAATGCTACTTTTTTATTTTATTTTTTTTTTTTTAATTTTTATTCTGTTGGAAATGGCACATAACACCCTAAGACATTAATAGATGCTGTTCTTCTAAATCACCATATCACGATCTCTTCCTGTATGCATTTACAAATGTTGTGTGAAAGAAATAACCAGAGCTTGTGTTTTTTTTTCATTTCTGTAACATAGCAGAAGGAAAAGCCGATTAAAAGATTTATTCAAATATTTACATGACACACACACTGTTGCAGTATTGAAGTGTGAGCTTGCTCCTTTTGCAAATCTTTTTAGCAGTGCTTCTTTTCTGCTCATTGTTACTACTACCTTTTAAATAGTAGTTACAAATTTCAATGACTTCAGTCTCTAATTGGTCTCTCCGGTTCTTCTTTCCCTCCTCCTCTTCTCCTCCTCCATTACTCCTTGTCTTTATAGTAATTCATGTGGGAGGCACCTAAACCATTTCCTCGCTCCCATTACTTCTCTACACTGCTCCATGCATCCTCCCACATGCCAGCTTTGCTCTGCACATCCTCTGTAATCTCACCCTGTGCACCCTTTCTCTACACATCTCTTTATGTTTGAAACAGTTTTTTTAAGTGGGTGCTAGATCAATACCCTCCACATATCAAATGCTCTCATTAAAATTCATCTTTTCCCAGAAGCCTATGAAATATAGTAGAAAATTATGATCGGCATCCTAAATAGTATCTGAGCCACTGTTACAAGCTGCATGTTTCTGGAACCAGTAGTACACCTGAATCAACAGCCCTCTCTGCGGTTCCTGCCTTTCGCTGTTTCCTGGCATTTCCAGAAAACAGAAAATGGGTCCAAGGTGAAATTAAGACACTCTGATATTTATATTACTCCACACTGATGTCTAAGCAGTATGATCAGGATTGAACATTTCAAGTGCTCCTGTTGGGAGGAAACTGCAGTATCTCCCTCCTCCAATGCATTTTTCTGTATAAAATGCTGCTACACGTTCCCCACTGCCACTGTGATGCAGTGGAAGGCAACACTTTACCTTGAGCACTGGAGATAATTAAGAATGTATATTTAGAGTATAAATATGCTGATGTACACTGTTAGCAGTGCATTCTACAAAATTAATTCCTAATGTTCCTGAATGCATTCAAATATCAGATAATTGAAACAATATGCATTTTATGCTCTCTAGTGAATGCAACGGATGCAGAGACATAAAGAAAATAAAATGTCTAAAGACATTTAGCTGGTTTGTGGCAGAGCTGGGAGAGAACCTAAATCTTATCTGTGCTCTTGTGAGTTTTAAACATATTACCTTCCCTATCATATACACATGGTGATCAAAGTCTCATGAATGTGCATGCTGATTGCCAGACTAGCTGGAGTCCTATAAAAAGTAATTCCTCATGAGGACAGAAGACCTAGACTGAAGCCCTCAGCTAGAGATAAAATTGTTCTAACTCAGCTCATATTTGTTTCACAGTCATTGTATTTGTTGACAGTCATCAGCATCATCATCAATTTTATACCAGTTTCAGGGACCAGTAAAAGTAATAGCTTCTGTTTCTTGACCACTGAAGAAAAGAAGCCCTATATTGATAGTTATCAAAACTATGAACTGCAAACATCTTACTTCAAAGGCATTTGATCGATGATATATTATTGCAAAACATTTTATTCTCCATCTCTGTTTCTGATCACCACTTTCTTTCCTACTAGCCTTGTTCTAGCTTTTTCTTCAATACATTTTTCACCAATGAGTCTGGAGTCTGGAAAACTCACAGTGATATTGGCAGACACAGCCATTCCCTCTGATGACAGCCTCCCTAACATAGGTCTGATACTTGTACTGTGCTACTCTTAACAGAAAATTAGTTGGTATAACAGATTAGTATTAAGACTGCAAAATCTCTAACTGGGCAAATTATTAGTTCCTCGTTTGGGGTGGGGGAGATTAGGCATCCATTAGACATAGTCTGGAATAACCAAAAAATGAAACACAGTTCAGGCTGACAAAAATGCTGAAATCTGAAGGCAAAGTAACATACTTACCTTAGAAACATAACAATCTTGCTTATTCAAGAGCTTTTTGAATAGCAGAATTTTCCTTCTCTGAATTTAAAGTTAAGTTATAGAGGAATAACAAAAGAAGTTCTTTCATTCATTGTATGATGAGGAATAAGCTTAGTAGCTTAGGTTCCATTGTAAGCTCATAGAAGAATATATAAAAGCTTCACTCCTAAACATCTAACAAAGCTTGCAGGCACAGAGATATAAAATTAATCACACCCAAAACATATTCATGAGTGCAGAGAGGGGACCCATTCAGAATTAAGAAGTTTTCCACTAGTGCTTTAGTTGTTTTATTAATAAATGCAAAATTTCTGGATCATGAAACAACTAAATGTGTAACAGCACAGACGTGAACATGCAAGAATAGGAGGGCTTCACCTTTTGCTGCTTTGCGAAGTTTATCATAGGCCTAAAGGGTTGCGGATAAGCTTTGTATTCCTTAGCATAGTAAATAGTCTTTGTGTGAGTGTAGCTTTGGCTTGTAGAATGATGGGGCCAATGAGCATACCATGATAGCACTACATGTTACAGGAGCAAACGCAATGTAATCACATTTAACACATTAATATATTATTCTTACAGGAGAGCAAACCTCCCAGAACAGCCTGAGCTTCATATTCAAAAACCAAAATAAAACCCAAAATGTGATTTATAATCATATGCTTACATTGTATAAACATGACTGCCTTAAGAATCTATTGAACACACAGATGTATGCAACTCACTCGTTTACTGCTCAACTTGGACCATTTTTTTAGTATCTAGAAAACATTTAGATGCTTTTGTGATACTTTTGAAGAATTCAAACCAGTGAGTTACCTAGACAGCAATATCATGCTAATATTTTGACACAGAAATGTGTCCCTACTATCAGCATGAAAGAGTAAAATGAACAAAAAAAACAACAAGAAAAAAAGTAACAAAACATTTTTAAATAGTCAGAGTCCTTTTCAATTATCTTTTTGCATTCTGTACCAAAACCCAGTCACAAATGAATATATAAGTTGGGGCTTATCAGTTAAAATGTATGTCAGATAGCCAATTAACAGAACAACATATGTCAGATAATTAAGGAAGCTGCCAATAAAACCAGTAAAGAAATAGCTGCCGAAATGCAAAACATGTATTCTGAGAAAAATTTCTACCCAGTGTTTTTATTGTGAAATAAATTGGTATTGCTACATGAAGAATCACACTGTGAAACATGATAATCACTTTTGGTCTTTCCTACAGGCCAGAGCTTAGATATATGCTACAACAGACACTATTACTCTCACATGTGGCACTGAAAAAGGCAGCTATCTGGATAAGAATGGTTCATAGCTGGCAGATAACAAATGAAGGAAAAAGTCTCTCTTCTGTTCCACCCTTCCTCACAGAACCCATAGGGTTGGGTAAAAATTCTGACATCCCTGACAGGTAAGATGAGTTAAGACCAAACTTGGGATTCATCTAGTAAATCCAGCAAGGTATACAGAAGCAAACATATAGAAAAGGACTGCTGATGGCAAATTTGAAAGCTTCAAGTTCTTTCAGATCAGAACTTGCAGAAAATCAATTTATACATGAATTTTTATTTTTCTGTTAGAACAACTCTGGAGTCAGATCAAGTCAAGATCACCATCTGCTGCAGACAGAAATACAGCTATATTCAGGAACTACATTATAAAACTTCTTTGTAAACTTTACATGCAAGCTGTTCTTGTCAGAATTAAAGCCATGTGATAATGCATCTTAATATTCAATAAAGCTTTAAATAAAGAGTGACAAAAGTCCGCATATGGATGACAAGCTGTTCTACAGTAAATATTTTTGTATTTGCTGAGAAGGGACTTATTGCAGTTTAGGACATATTCCACCAGCTATTTCAATCTAAACCACTTACAGACTAATAAACCCAAGATAAAAATCCTTGTTCTAAAATCCTCACCTAATTTAGTTTCTAAATTAACTTGATACTGTTCTGATCTAGTTATGTTTTTGCTTCATCATTCACTTGAAAACTTTTCTCAGCTGGCAGCTGTTATAGAATGGAAGACTTTTAGTACCCTGTATTTTAAGCAAGGATTTACTCCCAGACGACACTGAATGTATCTATAGGAAAGGAAAAGCAAATACAGTTTAATTTTACCATTCTAGATGACCCTCTAAAGCAGAGTGAAAATTCTTCTGTTGGTTTTTTTTTATGCAATTAAAGTTGTTAAAAACATTTCCGATATTCCTGCAACTGAGGGAATACAGCGCAAAAAACCCTCAAAAGTACTTTTCCACATACTCTAGCTAGAAATACAATTTACAGAAAAGCAGAGGTAAAAGAAATTCTTATGACAAGCAGGGATAAATCTGTTTCTTCATTTTTGAGTCTATTTCAACAAGATGCAAGGAACACATTGGAATTAATACAGCTAAGTTCTTGCTATGATTCATTACACATCACTGTTTGGTTAGAGCGACTTTGCAAGTAACTCAGTAAAGCAATGAAAAAGTAGTTTATAAAACACCTAAATGAAACAAATACACTATATGCACACATCATATAAAATAAATCCTAATGCAGATAAATAATCTTACCCTGATGCTGGATCAACAGCTATGGCCTTAGGGTTATTAAGGTCAAGCTCAATGAGGGTAATACACACTGATCCATTCTGGTTGCAAACGAAGATCCTGTCACTGATGTGATCCAAAAAGTAAAAATTTCCAGTGATCCAGTCTATTGCTATTTGCTGTACATCTGCCAGAAAAAAAGGAAGGAAAAAAAAAAGCTCAGTAGTGCAATTGTAATACAAATAACTGAACGACTAGCCACTTCACCAAGCAGATGCTCTTCCAGTTAGAGAGTTGATGCTGTTTTCACATGTATTATGTGGTATATAACAAGGAATCCAATTTTCAATGCACAAATATTGGCTGGAGAGAATTTTTCCTTTGAAAGTACAAAAGTCTGATTGCAACTTAAGGGGCATGAAAGATCCAGATTTGTCTGTAGTTCTCTTAAATACTTTAAAGGTTGTCATGGTGAATTTTTCTTATGGCATATTCAGAAGCAACATCCCTGAATGATGGTGGATCTGGGAAACAGGGGTATGCAACGCTGCTGGTAGCAGACTGTGGTGGGAAGGTATCCTCTGAAGCCACTCAGGTTTTGAAGCTAGTGTTTAGGGATGTCTGTTAACCATGGGGATGCTACGCCGATAAAGCTTATAAAAATTTATTTGTTGTGATTAAAGGGGACTAAACACAGATAGCTAATACTTCAGAGAAAATCTAAAAAAGCTGTGGGTAGATAGGCATGTCTAAGACCGTTGCATGCAATAGCTACATGCATGTGCAAGTGTTTATTCTCATTTAAATGACCTTTTTTTTTTTTTTGTGGTTCTGAGAAATCTCAATGCTGCCAGGTTTCTGATTCAACTGCCATAGTGAGTAACATTAAAGTAACTATCTGTGTGATACTTGTATAAAGACGCCTCTTAATGATCTTCTTCCCTTCTTGAAATGCTTTGGCAGCTTCACAACTACCTAACACAGATGTTATAAACCAGTCATTTTTCTTGTGGGATGCTTGAACCACTTTTCATAAATGTCTTCTAAATAATGCATTTTTCCTTGTAAGTCAAGCTAACTGCCCAAAGATAGCCTTACCTTTACAGTAAGAAACATATAAAGAAGCTCAAAGAACATAACATTATCAACATAAATAAGATTTCTTTACTTTCTATTCTTGTTGACAGCACTGTATAGTTAGCATTTTAGACAGTATTAGTTAATTTTAAATGAAGAAAAACTCAAATACCATAACATAGCAATATAACAAACTATATTTCTGTTAAATGTTTTCAATGTTAAATATTAGTGCATTTTTTAAGATTTTAAAATATATATATTATATTACAATAGGTTCAAAATACTGCCAACATAAGTTGCAATTCTTTCATGATGAGAGAAGCCATATGTGATAAAATATAATTTCACATAGTAGGTTTTGTCTTTTGTCTGGGTTTTTTTTTGTGTGTGTGTGTTGCTTTTGTGGTGTTTTTTTTTTCTTTTTTTTTTTTGTTAATTTCAATTTTTTTCATTTCTACCATGGAATCACAGAATCATAGAATAGTTAGGGTTGGAAAGGACCTTAAGATCATCTAGTTCCAACCCCCCTGTCATGGGCAGGGACACCTCACATTAAACCATGTCACCCAAGGCTCTGTCCAACCTGGCCTTGAACACTGCCAGGGATGGAACATTCACAACCTCCCTGGGCAACCTATTCCAGTGCCTCACCACCCTTACAGTAAAGAATTTTTTCCTTATATCCAATCTAAACTTCCCGTGTTTAAGTTTTATAGTCTAATTTTTAGGCTGTTTTTCTGCACTCCAACTGTTGCTATGATCACATACATACTGCATTGGAGAATGTAAAGTAAACTTGAATCAGAAAAATATTGTAGTCATTAATTTTTTGACAATAACTGAGTACTTATGAGTCATGCATTTGCTAAATATTTAACACAGCCATGGAGACCCATACATTGTCCTTCAAAGTGCAGGTAACATAAACAAGATTTACTCAATAAAATAACAGGAATAGTGGCTGTATTCCATCTCAGCTGTCCCATTACACAGTTCACTGCTGTCTTTTCTAGATCAGATTTCTCCCCTTGTGCTATCCATTTTCTTTTTAATTCAAAGCGAATATTATGACTCTTCCATTCTGATAGTCCTATTACAAAGATATGCTGAGCCAGAATAAAGAAATGCTCCATTTAGTCCAGTATCCAACCTCCAGAGGAGGCCAATGTCAGGTGCACTATGAAACATAATGTGAACCCTAATACGTTTTAGACAATAGGGAGGAAAAGTGTGGGTTTTTTTTCCTTGTTCAAATAAAATATAGGATATGCTTTAAAAAACACAAGAAAAAAACTCTGTCCCACTAGAAATCAGTAATAGTTTAAGCATTTTCAATGTGTCTGGTTGTCCATTTTGGGGAGTTGGATTCATGGAATTAAAGGTTTATGACTCACTGATTCAATGAGACTTTTGAAAATTGAAGATAGGCTTTCATGTAATAGAAGCATTTCTGAAAATATAATTTATAAATTGGGATGACAGGGATTAAATTTTAAATATTTGTAGGGATAAATATTTGTAGGGATATTTACTAGTTGCAAATAAATTCCTGCAATAAGAGCTCTGGGAGACTGCTGTACATCGGGAAATGGATGAGAAGGAGAAAGCTGCAGCAGTAGGCAGCTGGAAGAGGGTACTGTTGTCTTCTTAATATGAGGGAAAAGTACCTATTTATAAATAAATGTGATATATACATGAAAGGCATGTCACACACAGATTATTAGATCTGTTAACATAAAAATACTCGCATTTATAAAATGCTGGCTTTATTCTTCCTTTATTTATTTGTTAGCATAACACAGGAAATGGCACTAAGCAGGTTTTTTATATGGAAAACAAAGGTTATTAATTGAAGGTCATCGTAGGGATAACTATTTGCATCAATAAGTTAAAATTGAGGTTGCTTATTAAGCCCAGGAAAGAGAGACATCCAGAAGGAATTTCACACCATATTTGTGTCTAAGGCTTCAGGAGTCATCGGTGGCTTTTAACACCTATCTACCCAATTTCCCCTCCGCAGGAGATTGACTTTGGAAAAGGTATGGAGGGACCAACTGTGCAGGCTGTTACAGAGACTTAGGCTCATTGCAACTCCATTCCTTATAAAGCTGTTTCCTTATAAAGCATGCTATGCTTAAAGACATACTCTTAGAGTTTTCAGAAAAAGTGACGCATTAATTCACATTTTCTTCACAAGTCTACTGCCTGAAACGGAGATCTCCCACTACATGAAGAGTAAAAATAGACCTTCTGGGGCAACACATCACTGTAATCTAGTCATTAACCTACACATTCAATGCACGTGCATTTAACAGTTATAAACATGTTGTGTACTGCAGATACCATTGAACTGGCTTGGGTTTTGACTTCTTTGTATCATGCACTCTGCAATGAATTGGGCACATCCAGTTTCTCACAAGAGATGTTTATAAAGAATTGCTCAAGTCCACTCCCCCATAAAATTATATTCTACATGAAAAATCCACTTAGCCAACAGATAAGAGTTTTTATGAATCAGACTTTTAATCTCTATGGTTTTGCTAGCAGCTATACATTAAGATGTTTGAATGGCTCTTCAGTTATCACACAAGTTGAATGGGCTGTATACTATAGAGATAAAATTTGGGCTGCACTGGGGACTTTCAAAATATATATAACTTCTTATACTCAAGAAGTTACTGAATTAGTTTCATGCCTATTTCTGGATTCATATATTAAACCCTGATATGTACAGATGTCTAGTCCAATCACATCTTTAAAGTAATTATATTTTTTTCATTCATTTATACAGTTTTGATCTACTAAAAGAAGTATCCCCCATGGAAAACACACATATTTATTCTGAGCAATCTTGTATATATTTTTGAGGGTTTTTTCCTGTATAAATAACAGTTTCCTTGGAGCATTTCTGCTAAATGTGATCATCCTTCCTTTATTACTTTCTAAAAACTAGGATTTCTTCTGAAGGACTTCATAAAGAATAGCTAAGACATCATATAGTCTAAATTCTAGTCTAGTTAATGACATTATGTAGACCCTGGCTACTAGCAAAAGCGTGACTAATATACTTTTCCTATCTTTAAAACACACAAATATTATTATACCTTTAGAGAAAATAGCAATTTTATATGATACTGCCTAAATCTTCAAAGGGTATTGGAAATATGTCTTATGGCCAAACTATACTTTATGAAAATAACAGACACATTGAATGTCTGTCTTCTTTCACTTAATTTCCAAACATATATCTTGTGTGATATGCATTACTGCATTTATTTCAACTTCAAATCAAGATTTGCACCAGAAGACTTCAGTTAACAGAAGAGAGGGAAAAGCTGTGCCATATTCTTGCATTTATACTACTGTTGTAACCGAGGATTTATCACACATAGTGCCTCCTAAAATTAATATTATGTTAACAGATTTCATTTTAAAGATGTTGAAGAAAGGCTAGGTATAGAAAAATTAGTAAGCTTTCTCCATTTATACACTTCAGTAAAAGCAATCTTTGTTTTTAGTGCGAGAAATGACCTAAGCAAACTATTCAGTGGAACTTCATAGGAGTTAGAGTCTTTTTTCAGAAACTTCTGCATAAAGTGGGTAAAGGTTTTGGATGAAATATAATTAAAATTAAAAATCTTTATTGCACTCTCCATATGCTTCTGGTTAATAATGAAAAACACAGACAACTTCTCTCCATTTTAAGGAAAGGAACTTAGCTTCTACTGCCTTACATACTCAAAATTTTCCTTGCTCTGAACATGACTGCAATGAGGACTGCCTAAAGGAACCTGGAAATCTACTCAAGACTCAAGGTGGGACAATTTCATTGACATTTACTACAGGAAATTAGAATCATGATTCATCCTTTCACTTTGAGCATGGTTTTGGGCCACTATATGTGTGTGTGTGTATATATATACACATATATATATATATGTCAATATACACTCTCTTTCTGTGTATATATATATACATAAAGAGAGAGAACAATTCAGCATCTACTGCTTTTCCCAAATGTATATATTTGAAAATGTTTAAAAAAAAAAAAAGGAAGAACTATTTTGATTTACCTAAAAAGCTAAAAAAAAAAGAAAAAAAGGTACT